TGCCCTGCCTGGAATGTAAGCTCAACTACAGTGGGGAGTGGGGAGAGATCTCTGGAATCCTATCCAACACTATTTTTTATGATAAATAAAGGTCTCATGGCAACAGAAAAATCTTTGATTTCATACAAGATGGACAGTGTAAATATTTTATTGCCTATAGACCAGACCAGAGTAAGAAACTAACATTGCTGCTTACGTTCCTGAAAGATCTAAACTCCTCTTCTTCATTTTATGTTTTTCTTTTGATAAATCTTTGGATTTAAAAAAAAATCTATAGAAATAGCATTTTGTTCCAATGGTAGCAATAAAACTAATCCTAAAAGGCAGGCCTTTGCTTCTCTCTGTCTTTCTGGGTAAAGAGGGGAGGTTGAGAAAAGTTTTAAGAAACACATGAATAATGCTGATACCCTCTGATTCAGAATGCACTTATGCTTCAGGTACATTCTTCTACCGATGAAACAATATCAGCTTGAGTGATCAAATTTAATCAGTGCACCATTATTGTGTATGTCTATGATGACAAACAGTGCACTGTAGTTTAATCGCTTGACTGTTTTACCTTTAACTAGTTCTGTCAGAGAGTATTTCTGGCCTGAAACACTGATCATTCATCTTTCTAAATTCTGATATGATCATTACATTGTCAATTAAACAATAAGCTGAAAGAAGCATGACCCTTGATAGCAAGTATCTTTAAACCATTGCTTAAGTAGGCATGTCCACACAAGGCTACAATCTCAGCAAGACTGAGCCTTAAACAGTTCTCTCTAATTTTATAGCAGCTGCCTGTGCAGTGCCCAGCTGCTCTGGCTGCCTCACCTGCTATTACAGAGAAGGTGAAGGCACACCTTCAACCCAGTGGCTCTTACTTTTTAACTGCTTGGAGAGTTAGATGTCTGAGCAGGATTCTTTTGAAGATAGAGTTTGGAAAGCAGTTTATATGGAAGATGCTCTTTATTCTCCTTTCACACCGTGGCTTTACTGTCTCAAATGGAAAAGGGCCACAAAAAGCAATTTGTTAGGAAAAAAAACAAAACAAAAACAGCTTACCAACAATTTTTGTCTGCATAAAAATTACACATCCGATATTGAAACTGGGCATTACTAAACAATTCCAATGGGCCCATTTTTTAAATACTGAGACAGCATTTTTTAAAAAATATATATTTTATTGAATTTTCACAGAGAGGAAGAGAGAGAGAGATAGAGAGTTAGAAATATCGATGAGAGAGAATCATCGATCAGCTGCCTCCTGCACACCCCCACTGGGGATGTGCCCGCACCCAAGGTACATGCCCTTGACCGGAATCGAACCTGGGACCTTTCAGTCCGCAGGTTGACGCTCTATCCACTGAGCCAAACCGGCTTTGGCCTGAGACTGCATTTTGTCACTCACTGGTCCTGGCAGGAAATCCAGAAGGCTGGAAATCCCGTACCAAATTGACATTTGTGTTACCAATCTCATCCATGGACAACTGGTAATAGGCTAAGAAACTTCTAGTATACCACACACTGCTGTTGTCCTGTATAGGAAACAGCTCAAGATTTTGTCAAGCACAGTCTCCGCTCTTCAGGAGATTCAAAGCGGGTCCTAAGAACACTGCTTTAGCCAAGGACCCCCTCACATTCCAGTCTGTGGGAAGTGGGCGGGCTTTCTCACTAGGTGAGAACACTGACCTTCACCAACACAACCTGCTCACCTGGTATGCAATGAATGAACTAATTAATTTGCTAGGTTCCCAACAGAGAACACAAATTTCCGATGTCTACTTTCAGTATCTGTGAAAGCCCTGTGAGAGCAAGAATACTTAAATCTGTGGATTTGATGTGTGCCCCAGATAGCTACTGGGACCTTCCAAGGCACTTCTTCTTTTTTAAAAATATATTTTATTGATTTTCCACAGAGAGGAAGGGAGAGGGATAGAGAGCTAGAAACATCGATGAGGGAGAAGCATTGACCAGCTGCCTCCTGCACATCCCCTACTGGGGAATGTGTCCGCAACCAATGTACATGCCCTTGACCGGAATCGAACCTGGGACCTTTCAGTCTGCAGACCGACACTCTATCCACTGAGCCAAACCGGTTTCAGCCTTTCAAGGCACTTCTAGGATCAGCAAGTAAAATGAGGGGAAGCAGAGTGTCCAAGACCACGGCCACCCTTCAACCCAGCAGCTCTTATTTTAACTGCCTGAAAAGCTAGATGTCTGAGTAGGATTCTTTTCAAGATAGAGTTTGAAAAGCAGAGTATATGAAAAATGCTGTTTATTTATTCTTAATAGAGTACGTTCATCCTTATATCATCAGAGCTCAAAAGAGTTGTAAATCTAGATCAAGTAAGATTATCTCCCTCTCTTTGAAAACTCTTTTACAGGAACATATGTCAGTGTTTCATGCACCACAGTCTTGGCTTTGATTGTGGGTACATGTGCAAAACAGTTAAGGAGAAGGCTTCTGCTTTTGCTATAAAAGTTTGTTAAGTAGCATTGCTTATGGGGCTGTCAAAGCCCCAGATGATACGTTCATTTCTTTCAGGAATAATTGCCAAGAAAATTCATCCTCTCCTGAAAAACAGTTAAGCTTTCTCCTATCATATAATGATATTTGATATTCCTTTAAATATCCTTTTACTTTTAAATATCCATTTATCTTTTGGATGCTTTAGAATCTCAGAACTCAATGGGGTTCTTCATGCTAGCTACCATATTTGTTTCTTCCTTCAGTGCTTTTGATGGTGTACTTCTATTTGAACTGCTTTATGTGCCCTTTTGTCATAGGCAGGCAAGATATTAATGATAAATGGACAATATGTCAATAAGTAAATTTAAAAATCAATGATCATCCTAAAAATTACTGAAAGTCAAGAGAATTGTATATTTTATAATAGTTTGCTTATGCTCAGGTCTCATCCACTAGTGGAATACAGCCAAGTTTCCAGGCCCTATCAAAATAAATCTCCATGGAGCTCAAAGAGATACCTTTTTAGGTCATACACTAAAATTCATGTATGCTACACGATCCTCATTTGAAGTATACTTACTCTTGTATCAGACACAGTTCTATTATGCTTCAATGAGTTTCTGATGCCCTCAAGATGAAAAACAAATCTTGAGAATGACTTACATAATTGCCCATGATGCATCTGGCCCTGTCTTCTGTTTTACCCTTATCTCTGGCACTCATCTCCTTCAGATTGCACCTGTCCCTAACTCCTGAAAGTAGGGAAGTTTACCCTCTTACGAATTCCCACATCTCCATGCAGCATTCATTGTAGATTATATAATTATTCCTTATATCTCAGTTCCCTGAGAAACCTTAAACCTTATGTCTGCTTTGACTGGTTATACCAGTAATATATTTTTAGGACCCGTCACAAAGCTTAACTCATTCTATGTGTTCAATAAATACCTCTTGTCTAAATTAATGAAATTTTATGTGTGTTTCTCTGTCTATAATGGATTGAAAGAAGCAAATTACAGAAGAGAGCAGCTCTAAAAAAATTTACAGCAACATCGGTTTGATCATGTAGAAGGGCAAAAACTACAAAAAGTGGACAGAAGAACTCAGAAATCATTGGAGTCTAGAGGCAAATTTTCTTAACAATTGTTAGACATTAAGGCATGTTTAATAGGATTTAATGGCATCATTATATTAGAGTGTGGTATAATAATTGAAGTCATCAAAGAAGGGTTGGTTTTTGAACTACAGTTAAGATAAAAAAGAAATCGGTAATTCATCTTTAAAATGCTTTAATCCAGTGTTTCTTTGAAAGATTTCTTTATTTTCTATGGGTGATCTTCAGTTCTTGAGAAAATAGAATCATGTGCATTCTTCTCCCCACCTCCTAACAATTTGGATAAATGAAATATTTCCCGATCTCACATTAGGATAAATAACTTATATTGTAACACTCCTTCTTTTGCTCAACTTGATAAGTGCAAGAAAATTATTTTCAAATTCCCCTTAGTACTGAAACAATGATAGGTAATGTTTCAGGGAAAATTCTGCTGAAAAGGAGAATACTCTGCATTGAACATAAACCAAATTTTGCCTTCTGTCGCGTGAACAAAGCAAAAGAAGTTTCCACTCGAATTCTAAATTGCAGATAACCTTGCACTGCTTTGAGAAAGGCTGGAAGCTGAGGTCACTGGAGTGTATTATGATGGACAGTGCAGTGCTGTGCGCTGCTCAGAGGCATGTCCGCTGTGTGGATTACAGCCAAACACAAAGAATTAGACAGCTCGGAGCATTCTATCATTTCATTTGAAAATAATTGTCAAAGTCATGGGCAGCCACCGTTACAGCTTTCAGAAAAGAATAGCATTCCATAATTCCATCACTTCAGACAGACTGTTGGGCTATTCCCAGCCAAACACTGTGGATCCAGCCTATTCTGTATCAGTGTCTTAGGATGCTCAAAGAAGCAGCATTTCTTCTGCCTTGTATGTAGCTCTATCTTACACATTGCGGCTCATTGCTTCAAATTGGCCAAATCATTGAAAGAAATACAAGGAAAAAGGAGACACAGAAGCTTAACACAGCACTCTTAAAATGTAAATATGCAGCAACTCCACACCACTCACTGTCCTCAAGTCAACGTGCTGTTTAAAAGCTTAAAATCGGTTTCAAAATAAAATGCCTGCAATGCCTTCTCTAATAACAACATAAACAAAGCATTTTCAAAAAAAAAATCTAATCTGTTGTCAACCATTCCAAATGAACCTAAGTTAGTTCTGAAATCACGATGTTTAGGTAGAATATTTTTATTGGTAGAGGCTTATTTTTAACTTCTGCTTCTTCCAGGAGCATATTTATGGTGACAAACAAACAAGCAAACAAAAAACCTGTTTGGGATTTAAAAGCAGGTGTAAGATTTCAGACTTGATTAAAAGGGGAACTTCTATATCTTTGCTTTCTATTCTGCTTGAGTAGCTTCTAAATATAAAGAGAAAAACACACCCTGTTCTTCTCAAAGAGAGACCACCCAAAAGTTGTAACTTACCGTTAAAATTTACAGCCCGAATATAACCAAGTAGCTCTTTCCCATCGATGGTGCTCATGCGTGGGCAAAGGCCAATGTATCCCGGGCAGAGGTCTCTGTGCATGTTGTGCAGAGCGTAAGCCATGGAGTACACTGCATCGATGACAAACTGCACCTTTCCTTCCTGCTCGTAAGAGGAATCCCGTGCAATTCTTTCCAGCCCTGCGCAAGGAAACGGAAAACCATCCGTGGGCACTGTTAGATTTCGGGAAAATAAGGCAATCAGGTCAAAATTTCCATCATTTGAGGCACACTCCATGAGACACAACTATTTGATCTTATTTCTGATTATCCTGAGTAAGGTTTTTTATCTGGGTATTGAATTTTTTATTTGGAAAGAATAGAATAGTTCCTGTTCATTAGCAACAAAAACATAAAAGAAAATAAAAGACCTATAGTATCATTACCTTTTATTTCCTCTTTATTGAGTCATACCCTATTGTGCGTTCTGGGAGTTATAGGTTATTTTTGTGGAGACTTAATCTTTAAGTAAAATGTACAGGCTTGTTATTTACATCGATCCCAGCTCCAGAGGCATCATTTAATTAGTGGCCCAAAGTCAGGTCTCTCTCCAACCAGGTCTGTTCTTGTTTTGAATGAGGTTGATTAGGGAGCCCTGTTTATAAATATTAAATAAAATGTTTCCTGTTTATCTTTAGAAGAATCATTCAATTTATTTTCTTCTTGATCTCATTTTCTTTTAAAAAAAACATTATTGAGATATAATTGACATACAAGATGGTGTAAGTGTAAGGTATACAAATGCTTAGATATATATATATGTAATATGAAATAATTACCTCAGTAAGGTTAATTAACATATTTATTACCTCAATAGTTTCCTTTTCTTGTAGCAAGAACTGTTAAGATCTAATCTCTTAGTAAACTTCTAGTATACAATACCGTATTAACTATAGTCATTATCCTGTACATTAGATCCTCATAAATTGTCTAGTTTAATTCTCTATTAAAAAGATGTAGAGTGCTCAAAATGAATATCATTCAGAATAATTGCTCCTATATTTAGGCATAAGTAGGCTAAGAATTGACAATTGTGGGTTATCATTTAATGTGTAATATAAGGATAGAATTAAAAATGGAAAATAAATCCAATGTTAATATTAAATGATGCACTATGAGCTACAATCCAATATTCTCATTTTGAAGACCAGGAAACTGAGACACGTGGAGGTGAAATTTATGATGGACACATAGAGCATATATATGGGAACCATTCCCAGGTCTTAGACTCAAAGTTCAAAATTCTCTCAATCCCCAGAAAAATATAGATGACAGGAATATTGGGCACAGGAGAAGAAGATTATAGAAAGAACACAGAGTTTACTAAGGGTCACAAGGGGAATCTCCTCTTACTTCCACACCCCCTCCCTAACTTTGCTCATCCTGCAATACTTCGAGAGACTGAAAGCAAGCACTTTAAACCTTCCCATGGATGCCAGTTAGTAATCTTTAATAAATAGTCTTTAAATTCAACAAATACTTCTTTTCTTCACTAATTCATTTATCCTCTCAGTTTAAGAGTTGAATTGAAATGGTCATTTTATACTCTGATAACATGTTTTTTGCACTCTGATAGAACCAGTGGCTTTCTTCTACACAAAGGTAGTAGTCCTTTCATTGATTTTTATTCTTACAATCATTGAACATTTTCCTCCGGTCTCAATCCCTTGCTACACAGATCCTATAAATGCTATTGGTCGATGCTCTATATCCTGTAGTCTGTCATGATGCTGAATTCTGCTTAGCTTCTCCTTTTCTCACATGACTTTGAGAATATATATTTTTTTATATCTCAACTTTCCATTCCTCAAGATTGAGTCCTCTCCCCCTCTTCAATCTCAGAATCTATTCATTCTCAAATCCTTTACTTATTATTATTTTTATGGTTTAGAAATATAAATAGTTATGTAAAATATTAATTACATGGTCCAAGTCAATTTAACTTATCTTTACACCTAGCTTTCTGGAAATTAGTTTTCTAGGACTTTCTTGTCACCTAACGTCTAGCCCACATTTCCAATCACCTACCTTATCTTTATGTAGTCTTCCTCCATGTCAAACTCAGTAAATTTAAACCCAGGCTCTCATTGTAGAGAATGTACATAATTATCTCCCTAAAACTTTTTACTGAGGGTTTTAGTTTGGGGAGCACAAAGAGAGGGGGGCAGAGCAAACAGTGGACATCTTCAACCTGCCTGAGCTTCATGATCTAAGCTAAGATCCATGCATGATGGGGACACTGTCTTCTCCCTATCTCTGTGTCTCCTGGGTTCAAGGACAGAACTACTTATGTCCAGAATGTCATCAGTTGACATTCTGGTTTTGCAGTTTTAACTACAAAATAGACAATTCATAAATGCATATTGAAGAATGGTCACAGAAGCCAAAACAATTCAATTATTTATTTAAAAATCTTATCTGGTAACCGATCACTCTGGTTAGTCCAGGACTGTAAGAGTTTCTCACGATACAGGACCAAACCCTGGACACTCCTGAACAGACCAACAAGGGTTCTGATGAACAAAAGGCAAATGACCAGGGCATTTGCTGAGATAAGACTCAAATAACTACTTGGGGTGGTGGTACCTCATCACTGTGAAGAAGGCTACCCACCAGGTGAAGTCCCAGCTGACCCCTGCTATTGTGGAAAAGGTGAGGTGATTGTGGCAAGGCGAGCATGCAAACAAATGGGGGGTGGACAGGAAGCTACTGGTGACAGGCCCCAGGCAAGGGGTGGCATTGGTGAAAATGCCAAAGAAATTAGGAAAGTAAATATCTCATAGTGAGACTGTTATCAGTGAGGCAACCTTGAAAATGTAGGGAACAGAAGAACCTCTCCTTTGCTTTCTACTCCAACGCCTACCAGGGTCTGGCAAGCACTGAATCCCAACCTCAGCCAGGCACTGGTGATGTACCAGAGAAAGGTAGGGGATGGGGCCAGGCATGCGGAGTGGAGAGGGGAGGGGTGTTTTCTCTCTTCTGGGGCTCATGCTATGTATCACTCATATGACATGCAGGAGTTTCAGAACCAAGAATCATATAGAGCAGTAAAAACTGAATATACATTTTTGATTTAAAATAGCATTGGACATAATTCACATATTTAAAAAATTAGATTTAGCCTCTGCTCATGACATTGCTTTTAGGGTACGTCAGAGCAAATTTGAACTTTCATCCCCAACAAACTTTTTGTTGTTGTTTTTGTTGTTAATCCTCACTGGAAGAGGTTTTTCCATTGTTGTTTTTTTTTTTTGTTGTGGTTTTATTTTATTTTGTTTTGTTTTTTAAAGAGAGAAGGGGAGAGACAAACATCCAAACATAATTTGAGAGAGATACATGAATTGTCTGCCTCCCGTATGCGCCCCAACCCTCCCACACACACCCAAGACTGGGGCCAGGGTTGGAGCCTGCAACCAAGGTGATTTCCCTTGACCTTATTGGAACCCAAAACTCTTCAGTCTGTGGGCCTTCATTCTATCCACTGAGCCAAAACGGCCAGGGAAGTCCCCAACAAACCTTAAAGTTGGTGGGACACAAAAGGTTTTGCTCGGATCCAAATTCTGTTTGAGGAGAAAAAATATATTAATAAGTCCTTTCTAATCTCTCTAGAGCAGAAATGACTTAGAGTTAAGATGCTCAACCATAATTCTTTGATGTCATTTGAGGAGAATTCAGCAAGGAACAATCTCTTGATTTTCTTTGAACAAAAATAACAAGATGGTACAACTTTGGGACAAATATTTTTTATAAGAACTCTAAGGAATAAAAGGGGAGGGAAGGCTGTTCAGTGACTATTGTCACATGAGTCGATGGACACAAGTCTTTTTTCTAAGTCAATGTAAGCACCTGGTGACAAATTAAAGACTGGGCACTATATTATTTTTAAATTTAAAAAGAAATTATTTGATTTTTTTCAGGCCCTTTAGACAATGTATATTTCACTTCCTTCACATTTCGATTTTGTGATGATACTTAAAATTTTATAGCAACTAGTTTGCGCCTCACTTTCTACATCCATTTGCCTCTTTCATCTAAATGAGGAACTTAGGAAGCTGACAGTGACTCATCAACTTAATTGGCTGTGAAATTTCATTATGCTATAGTTTCTAAAGTTAGCGTTAATGTATTGCTATAAAGTGCTAAATATTGTCAAAGGCTGTATGGCAGCCATCCTTTTAAAATACTGATTGCAAAAGTTGCAATGGGTTTTTAGGGTATGGCTTAAAATTAACTGCATGGAGCAAAGTGTTTGTGTGGCAGATGAAGTCAGACACATAAATTTGATTGCAAGACTATGTGTTCATTATGAAAATCTAAAACTCCTAACAGTATCTCATGTTCCTGGACACATAGAACACTCTTACTGGTCCAAGCAATGGGCACATGTACCTTAGCGAAGGCCTTTCGCACATCCTGTGTATCTTCTTGGTTTTTGCTTCCTCTTCCTAAAAGGGCAAATTTGCTCATGTTCGCAAAGTGCTGTATACATCACAATGTGAGTTCCTTAATAAGCCTGACACAAATTTTAAATTATTTGACTGCCATATAGTTGCTGAACTTGCTTTCTAATAATTTCTCAGGATATGGTTTAATTTTATAAGTTAAGGGCATTTTCTTCTCCTTTAATTAAAAATAAATTAGAAATAAAACTTCTAATGCTAATATAGCGGTGGTCTACTAAACAGCTGGTCAAATCAGTGGAGGGGAGGGAATTAAAGTCATATCAGTCTTTTTATTCCTGGGAGAGCAAACATCCAATTGGTTGAATTTTTAATATAGTTTTAGCATGTAGTAGAAATAATCCCACACTCCACTAGTATAAATTTGTGTCTTAAAAGTATTCCTTTATTTAGTTCCTCCCTGACTTTTTAAGTATGCAGCTCCTGCTTTAAATAATTAAATCATTTCCTTGCAGTTGCTGTGCAGAGAATGATAAGAGGGAAGAAGAGAATTTGTGAGCTGCTATGAAGAAATACATTCATGCACATGGGAACAGAATTGTTCCTAATATAACATGTATGTTATTTGAAATCAGTGAGAAACATGCCAAGAACGGCACTGCACACTCAAAAGTAATCACCCTCAAGTTAGCAAACATAACATCATCTTTTACTGAATTTAAACTGATTTGGTTTCCAAAG